AAATATTGGATAGCATACCACTTTTACAAATTGTGTATCATCTCAATACATTTTTTGAATATCCGCGTTAACAGCTTACCGTGGCGGCTATCCCCTCTGTAGCATATCTCAGGTCCCCTCTATCCACCTGCAAGCGGTGTATGCATTTTGGGAGTCGCGCGGGGCACGGCCCCTCCCCCTTTACGCGTACGCACACACGCTGGCGTGCTAATTAGGGCGGAAGAGGAGGGGGCCAGCCCCTCAACGCTGATCACGCTGGGGCCCCAACGGACCAACAGCGGAGAAAAGAGAAGAAAAGAAAGAGAGTCGGGCACCGTGTCTCAGCACACCGTCCCACCCGGCTCTGCTTCCCAGCCGCGCACCCGCGCTGACGACCTAACGACCGCCACCCGGCTGTTAGGGGTTTTGCTGACCCTCATTTTGCTCTTTCACTTCAAACTTGTGAGCAATTTATCTCTAACATGCTTGAAACCATCTGTGGTAGTATCCACACTGCACCCACTTGTATGCTCTTGGGTGCCTGCACAACTTCATGGTACACTCTGTAGGCTCTAAAAAAAATAAGGGTTATGCACACAGATATTATTGAAAGTAAGAACCACACTGATGTTCAACTAGTGCAGAGGTGAAAGAGAAATTGTCACTAGAGATGTGTGTACCTTTTGCTCGGGCTAGCAGCTCTTCAAGATCCTGCCCACTTCTAGAATGATCATTGACTAGTACCGAGGGGAAGAGACATCCAAAATTGTTCACTAGAAATGTTTGTACCATTTGCTTGGACTTGCAGCTCGGGTGGATCTGGCCCACTTTTAGACTGATGACCAACTAGTGTCGAGGGAGAGTGTTTGTCCATAAGAATTTTCTACCTTGAACTCCAGGCTTGCGCCTCTCTCTGCCAAGTCCCATTGAAGCGAGTTGAAATGCACAAGTTCCACCAGTACATATAGATACATATTAAGGCATAAAACCCGTTTTAGCCCGACTCTCTTTTGCTCTATGTGGTCTCGTACGGCTGCGAGTTCTAGGTATGGACCGCTCCTCAGCATCTCTTTTCCCAACAGAGCCATACTGACGACCAACTAGTGATAGATAGAGAGAGAGAGTATTTGATGCTTCTACCATTCTCTGGGGCTTGAAGCTCTGCTGATCTGGCCCACTTCTACCAAGCCAAGAGAAGGTGTTAAAAGTGTTCGTACAAGAGAATTTTCTACTTAAACTCCAGACTTGTGCCCTACTCTGCCACGCCCCACCGAAGCGAGTTGAAATGTTTCACCAGTACAAGTGTATAGACATGGAGTGCTAATCAATACATCTACACTATTAAACCTGTTTGTACAGTGAGTTTTCTTGTACGGCTGCGAGTTCTAAGTATGGATCGCCCCTCAGCATCTCCCAACAGAGCCAGACTGATGACCAACTAGTGTGAGAGAGAGAAACGCCAAGAGAAAGAGATATTCATTTGTTCAAAAGAGCTCTTTTTGTACCATTCTTTTGGACTTGCAGCTCGGGTGGATCTGGCCCACTTTTAGACTGATGGCCAACTAGTGTTGTGGGAGAGTGTGTTTGTCTATAAGAATTTTCTACCTTGAACTCCAGACTTGCTGGAATACGTTTTGTAGAGCAGTAGCTAATGTGTACGATGATATATACATTTTTGGGAGAATAGGTGCCAAAGGCAAAAGCCATAAGCAAAGGCCCCCACTACTTTTCTTATCACCTGTTGCACAAACCCTTCAAGTTGACAGCTTTTTTTCCATCAGTTTTATATAGCAAAGAGATTGCATCATCTTTGGTGGTGTGACATAGAAGTGCAGTATTTGTGTTGTCAGTGAAAGAGAAATAGTTCAACATGCAGTATGGTATATTTTATTACACAGAAGCAGTGACTTGAATCTAGGAGCTACTACGCTCTGTGTAGCACTTGGTGTTTGTGTATCTGCTTTCACTACGTGACTTCTTTTGAATACACTTTCGTCAGGAATGTGTAGTTCAATGTGGCACTGGCTGAAAGTGGCTATGAACAATTTATAAGCATATATAAATGGCGTAACGTAGCCCTAGTAACGGCTTCTCCTTATCCATTATGGTCTTGTCAGCGTATATTCCAAACGCCGGAATGTTTGAAGTTGGACAGTCCATCATCGATACAATCCGGTGCATAGCACGGCGGACGGACTCCGCAACATTGTACTGCTTCTGTTGAAGAAATAGTAGAGACCATACAGTTTGTTCCACTATTTATCTTTCACTTTATTTTGGCTGAGTGAATTATTATAGCTCTCGCTGAAAATTAACCAAACATCTGCTGAATACAAATCCTTATTGCAACATTCACTATTTCTACAAGTGGAAAAAGTATTTCTTCAAAATGAAAGGGGGATATAGGGATGGCTTGAAGCACCAAAAAGGAACAAACAAGGGGTCATTACACAGCAAAGTTGCACAAAGCTACATGACACCACCCCTATATCTTTGTTTTATTGTTTATAAGCAAACTTTCCCTTGAGCTAAACATACATGCACTATTGCAGAGCCGTATAACAACAAAGATATAGGGATGGTGTCATGTAGCTTTGTGCAACTTTGCTGTGTAATTACCCCTTGTTTGTTCCTTTTTGGTGCTTCAAGCCATCCCTATATCCCCCTTTCATTTTGAAGAAATGATTATTATGATGATGATGATGATGATGACACGAAAATCGTGAAATCGCGTAAGAGCCAATTCTCTCGTGGGGAACTGAGGGCACGTAGGAAGTCTTGGGGAGTATGTATAGCTAGGTATTGGCCTGTAGACTATTGCTAGTGATTTCAAGCAATGGTGAGTCTTTCTCGCCAAGTTTTGAGGCGTTTTTGTACGCGGATCACGTGAGATTTCACCCGCGTCATCCCTATATAGAGCGTCTACCGACGCTCTGATGTAACTAACCTCAGAGTTTAAACAAAGTCTAATGGGTACTAGTGCTAGAACAGTTTGTACAATGAGGGTTTGTTCTACATTTCACCAGTTCATACACTGGCCCTCTCATCCCCCTCCTTCACACACTGCATACGCTTCATTGGGCAATACAGGAGCTTTCACACATCTTGACACATTGTGCACACCGTATGCTTTGTTGGATACTGGATACACCTCCACTCCTTTAGCACATCCTTTCTATATTGATTAAAGCCTAAAAAGGTGATTTTCCTGAAACGACTGCGATCCAGAGATATGCCGTGAAGAAACAAGCGAAATGGCAATTGAATACTGAATCCTCGGCATAATCGCACTGGGCGTATGTATAATATACCTAGCTAGCCCGTGTCAGACTCTCCGGGAGCTTCTAACGTGGAGAGACCACGAGTATATAAACGCATGACTCTTTTTTGCCAACACCAATTTAAGGGATACCGCGCAATGCGCATGTGCGCGAGGGTTTGCACACTTTCAGTCCATCTTCGCATCAGCAATTTTAACCCTCGGCGCGCATGCGCAACGAGGGTTACGGTAGTTGGTTGTCTCTGTGTGTGTGTGTGTGTGTGTGTGTGTGTCGACGCTTATTCTGGCACTACAGGCTACGAGGCGGCCCATTAGCGATACCAGCGGATTCAGAACTACGGAGCCTGAAAATGTATTAGGCGATTTTCCTCAAACGACTTCGTTCGAGAGAATATGCCGTGAAAACAGCGAAAAAGCCAAATCGCACTGGCTTACCGCGACCTGATCCGCTCGCTCTGTGTACCTTGGGGGCTCAGGAAGTCACAACGAATGGCATGTATCGGACTCCCGCATGCTATCTACTACTGTAGCTAGCCCGTGTCTGACTCTCCGCGGGGCTACTAGCGGAAGACCACGAGTAACGCATACAATAGCCGCCCAGCCCATCAATTTGCAGTATCGCGCATGCGCAGTTCGCCGAGGGTTTGCAGCTTTAGTGCTTTTCATTTTATTGTGCCACTTGCATCAAAATAAATTTGATCAGTACGCTCATGCTTAGGTGGGTAAAACTGTTTTTTAACTACGTTGTTCATCAGCTGGTTGTCGTTTGGATTGAAATTTGGGCAATGAATAGGTTTGGAGGACTTAGACACAAGTGCAAAAGTCATGAAAACCTTTAAAGGAAGGGAACAACAAGCGCAGAAAACAAAGGATTGGATATGAAGACTATCTGTTTCCTACGTACATCCGCCTTCGTTTCAAAGAATAATTTTCCACTTGTTCAAGGATAGCTAATAAAAGTTATAGGGGGGAACGGTTTCACATGCGCATTGTTTATGATAATTATGTAGTAGAGGTAAAAGTTTAAGTCAATGAAGAGTTTTGGTAGCATGTCCCAAAGAGCTGTTGGTACTGAAAGCTGTATGAGCTGATACCCTTACACAGCATTGTGGATGATCATCATTGGCTGGGTGAGTTGGGGCAACTAGCACTTGTAGTGTTCAGTATCATCAGCTGGGTGGTTAGTGTTAGTAGTGGTAGTAGGTTTAGCAGTGGTGTGTGCCTCACTATGAAATGGAGCTTGCGGACTTTTCCTCTTGTGAAAGAGCCATTCATTGAATTGCGATTTGGAGTTACTTGTGAGAAAGTCAGTTGAGCGACGATCTCGTGGGCGGTCTTACTCGGGTGTTGTGGAACCACGTCACAGACATAGCCAATCAGCTGGGTTCCAGGTAGTGTGATGGATATCTTATTGTCTCTGACACCCACCCTGAACTTCATGTCCCCAGCACTGGCTCTGTGGAGCCGGCCAAACGAGAAGGGGCCGAACCCTCCGGTGATGTGGGGGTCGTAAGAGAATTTAATGAGAGTTGGTAGAGTGTGGAATATGAAGGGAACGTCGACAGTGAGTTCTATGTCGGTGGCCAGAAGGAGGGTGGTGGGGTAGAGTGGTAGCTGGTAGGTGCTGTTCTTGATGATATCCTGGAATTCACGCATTATCCCTGGGGAAACCATCACATCTGGATCTTTCTGTAGTGAACAAAGTCAGATTGTAAGAAAGGCAGTTTGAAGCAATGGAAAATAGCTAGCAATATTTTGATAATTTGAAGGGAACTGTACAGCAAAGGGCATGCAGTGAGGGGTTTTTGGTCACCTTTTCTACACCTCGAAAATCTCTTAGGTCTGTTGGTATTGATGAGAAATTTGTTTTCATGAAATTGCTAGAATCTTACCAGACTCAAGTGCTCATTGCTGAAGAGAGCTGCCTTGAACCACCTTCTGTGAATATTAACTCCCGATATCTTGGCAGAGACATTAGTGGCGGCAGTGTTAGAGGTGATTGAATGTCAAGTTGTACTCCCGATATATGTCTCCTGGCACCAATAGGGCAGTCTCTGGGTTGAGAATACCACAGTAGTCGTCCAATTATAGAAGGTGGGAGCTCAAAACTGTACTCAGATAGTACAGACTGTGGCACGAAGTTGAATTTAGTAAGCAAGTCAACTATCACACCTGCTTGTTCACTTTTCGTTCGGCAAGATCAGCAAGGGCATGGTTAAGGATGTCTGAAGGTGGTTGGCTTTAGACTGAAGGTGTTGATAGTGCTAGCGATGGCCGGGATTGAGAAATCGCGGTGATTCAGAGCTGCCTGGACTGTGTGGACGTACCAGTAAAACTCGGCATAGTTAGCAAGGACCTCAGCTTCAAAGAGTTCTAGTTGGTCCCAGTAGAGGTTGCAGTCAATTGGATTCCCACTGAGGAAACATGCATAGCTCATGTTTACGAGTTCCCTCACAAATCCTTCCAAATCGAAGCTCATCTCGTCCAGTTCGCAAACAGTTTTTTTGACTGGGATCGCTGGAAGGAAGAAGGACGTTTAGCACTTCCCTCTTGTTGTATTCACTCTCAAGATATCGGCTGGTCATCTCCAGGATCTGTATTTCGCTTTTAAGCCGAGTAAGCTGAAACTGCATCTGATATATGCTTTCTCCCACACTGCACCATAAAAAAGCATGTGATGCAAAAAGAAAGAAATGAGTGTGATAACTTACTCGTTCTTTAGTCTCATGTACCAAGTGTCTGGGTAGAATTTGACCAAGTAATAGATCTTTTCATTGTGGAAACGTGACTCCCTACGGTTGGTGACCAGCAATACTTGTGCATTGGAGATTTCCTGCGAGTGATCAGTCAGTTTCAAGGAATCTAGCTTCTCTTCCACCTCGTCTTTGTTGGCAAATATCTTCCATCTTGAGAGTGCTTCTTGCTTCCTGTTGTTGAGGATGTTCAGGTTTTGCTCGTACCACTGAGTAAATTCCCAGTCAAAGAGAGTCTGTCTCTGAGTCTCAATCAGGTTGTCAACTTCAAACACTGTCATGTAGTAGGAGTTCTTGTAGAGGTGGTAGAGACTGAGTCGTGGGAGAGATTCATTTGAGCCGGATCCCATGTCGGTTACAATATCCTGTAGATAGGCTCGGATTTCTTGCTGCTCAGTTGGCGACAGAGAGCTGGGTGCCACTTGCAGCATCTCCAGCAGTTGGTTGTATGTTGTCCGGAGTCTGGGTACCCTGTGTGGGTTGAAGACGATGCTTCCTCCGTCAGGGATGATGTCCACCAGGTCAAACATGTTCTCCATGCTCTGAGGCAGCACACTATCCTCGCTCTCGTCATACAGATACCCTGGATCGTAGTCCTCATAAGCCAATACCTGGCCTGTTGCGAGAAATGTTAGATGCTGTTCGCCATCACTAACTCTAGGGAAATGTTCTGAGAGTGTTTGCCGAAGCTGGTGGTACAGATCAGATTGTTTCATTACATATTTTGTGGTTGCAGTCTGAATGGGAATATCTGTAAAGAGGGGCATGTTAGGAAACCTCTATACAATCTTGTTGTTGTTTACATACCTCCAAAAAGTGTTACATATGTGGATGCTGTTGTAATTCCAGCTTCATTAGTAGCAACGCATGAGTAGTTCCCTCAATTTCTTGTTTTGACGAACAGAAGCATCTGATGGGAGAGTTAGTATCAGGCTGTTGCTATTTGTGACATTAGGAATTTCCTGCCCATTCTCTAGCCACTGGATGGTAGGTGTTGGCACTCCCTGTACCACTCCACACATTAGAGTCAGTCTAGCACTGGGCCCTGCTCTCACACACACATCTTCTCCCACCCTATGGATACTCTCCCCTTCTCTAGTGAGATCCACACAGTTTTCCAGGACCGTTTAGCAGTCAGACGTATTAATTCGTGGAGGAACTGTAACAGAGAGGACCAATAGTTAGAGAATGTTTGTGGAGGAATGTAATTTGGGGTGCTGGTACCTGTGACAGTAACAGTAGAACTGCTTTCATCTTGACCAACATCGGGAGAGTCCGCTACACATGTGTATACGCCGTCATCTCTGTGTCTGGTGAGATGTTTTACAACCAGAGTTCCATCACTTAGAACAGTGTACTGTGAATGACGTCCAGGAATAGTTTGGTTTTCATGGAACCATGAGATCGATGGAAAAGGGTTTGCTCTGTGGATGGGGCACTCAATTCTGAGATTGTATGTTTCTGGAATCTTGATATCCTGTCCAATAGCAATGGTGATGCTTTGAGTGTGCTTAGTGGTAGAATAGCTCAAACGGAACAGCAATGACCAATGTTAGGAGGGAAAGTGCTGTTTTGTCAATCTCTGGTGAAACTAAAAGAGGCAGAGTCAAACAAATCATCAAAGTCATGCATGAGCAGAATGCTTACTTAGCACATTGATGTCACACAGGTGTACTGCTGTCCATGTTCATGCCAACATTACAGCAGAACTTTCTCTGCCGACATCTTCAGTGACATTAGAGAAGGAGAGAGTTCCATTGCCCAAGTCAGTGAGACCTTCAGGTAGGGTGTCTTCATCTCGATCTGTCGTCCACCTGCACGCAGTAGGGTTTGTAAGTTTTTTTCAGATAAAACAGAGCTTGTTTTGCATAGTTACTTGTCCTTACATACTGTAGGTACAGGAAACCATCAGAAGAGCAGTATAAGACGTAGAAGTGTACTCGAGCACATCTTTCTCTCCGCTATGATCACCTCAGATGGAGGGGCATTAGCTAAAGTAAAAAAAAACATGGTTATTCAAACTCTCAGTGTAGCTATAATAGAGCTGACTCACTTCCAAAGCATAACTTAGCAGACTCTTTCACAAGCGGTAAAGACACAGAAAAGTTTGCCTGACATGTGTATGTGACACAACCCTCACTCACTGACCCACTATACCGAATACCGTCCTCTGAAAACGTGTAGCCACCATCACCCTCGTTGATGGGACTACCATTGAGAAACCACGACACCGTAGTCTCCTCTGGACCTTGCACTCTGCAACAGATTTGCACTGCATCAACACTGTGACCTAAGTAGGCTGTTCCTCTACCCACACCAACCCGACTGCCTTTTCCAGCAGAGCCACAAGATGGAGGTTCTACAATGATACCACCTGTGGAAAAGGGGGACCAAAGTCACATGAGATCACTAATTTGAGGGGTTAACCTATGACTGAAAGTTGATGAGCAAAAGGGTCTCCGAACATGTAACATGTGTAATTTCCTGCATCAGTCATCGCTGCATTGTCGATGCAAAGGGAACCATCGTCACCAATTTGCGCTGGCTGCATGGAGTTTCCGTCTCTTGTCCACTCTACTGAGGATCTAGTTGGCAGTCTCTCATCACCTCCACTCTGGCACCTCATGCAGATAGAGTTTCCGGATATTACAAAGTGTGATGTTGGCATTTGGTCGGCATCTAAACCTGTAGCATTAAGCATTAAGTGGAAGTATTATGGCTAAAGGAAGGTGCCACACTACACAAACCATGCATTTACATAATGTGAAGACTGGAAGTACTTACCAGGTAGAGATAGCTTGAGTCCTCCTACGTAAGCATAGGTTTCTCTGTCCCCCAAGCCATAAATTATTACCCCAATAGGTGGTGCATTATCTGCAGCACTCCATAGAGAGTGTATGCCACTAGTGACACTGGTGGTTGTTGCATGGCCACAGGTTAGACCACTCTCAAAGCATGGAATGGACACCCAGCTTGCTGATGTCATTGGGTCTCCATCAAGAAGGATATCAGAGGGTGCAAAGGTGTTTGTACCAGAAGGGACGAAAATATTTGCGTATAACTGAAACGATAAAGACAATCCCTCCAAAACTGCAAACGTGGAGTTCAAGAGATACTGATTCAGGGCGGGCACAATGACCATGAACGGATCTGCATTTGCGGTATCGGCTGATCCTCCAGGTGTGAACTGGACGACCATAACTGGTTTGTCGGTCTCAACGAAACAATGGGTATCGGAAGACAGGTTCAGTTCATGGAATAATCCTGTGCTAGCAATGGTGGTGGTGGATCTCTCTATACTGCTGCTACTGTTTGTGCAAGAGATTTTGACTTGCGTACTTCCCTCAGACGAGACAATCTTGATGACGTCATTTGCTGTCCTAGTGGCAGTAGGAGCAATGAGAAACTGGTTTCCCCATGTGATTGTAGGAGGAATCTGCTCCACCAGATGGTCGCACTGTGGGACATCAGCTGTGACATTCCCACACTCATGTCCAGTGAAGAAGGAGATTGGAGACGAGGACACAACTCTAGACCCAGTCAGGTCTTCCCTGTCCTGTACATAGAGAGTCTGTCTCTCTTGGAGATTGACAGAGAATGAGGTTCCAGCTCTGATTGTGAGGATGGGTATGTAGGGATGGGTGATGGTCTGAGTCGGAGTAATGGTGACTGTGGTGTTGTCGGAGCAGGCCACTATCAGGAAAGCACTGTCAGCAGTGCTATGAGAGTAACTGCTTGGAGGAACTGACACTGCATAGTACTCGTATGAGCTGACAGATGGAAGACGAGAGCAGGGTAGAACAGTTGCCGCATCGGCAGAGTAAACCTCCTCATTCAGTATGTAAACAGAAATCATCTTCATCTCTTCTGCTTTTATCTTTACACCCATATTTCTGTCGGCCCCTGATACGACCTTAAAATCTTCTAGTGTCATAGTCAAAGGCTGTTGACGTGTAACTGCTTTTGTGGTGACTTCCTGTTCGCTTTCAATCATCACAATAGCCCCCGTTGGCTCAGTGGTCATGATGGTAATCGCGCTTTTGTTAAGAATCAACTGTGGAAACCGCCGGAACTGTTCTCTGACGTAGTTGCTCATGAAACCCACATAAAACTCATTTCCAGCGTTTCCTGTATGTAACCAAATTAAGCACGCACTATATATCTGGATAATGTTGTCTGCTTTAATTAGTGGTACAGTTTTAGCTACAACTTTACAAACAAACATCTGCTTAACAGCTTCCTGTGATGCCAAACACAAAGTAAACAAGCCATATGCCCTAGAACATTTGTGAAAAAGAGGTGTTTTATGTGCTTGTTAAATTACATGGGGTGTTTAGCTGGAAGACATAATGCAGAATATTCAGCTGGTATTTTATGCTAATGAAACTGTGCTCACGAACAGACAGTCAGTGTTGATATAATAAGCGTGTGATTAGCTACTCATGTGCGTTTGCAAGCTACAATTTTGTATATTATCATGTTTGCATTGTTATGTGCAGGCAGCAAAAAAAGTTTTAACATAAAAGTCAAATACCTGATTGAAGTGTAGTATTTACCACTTCCTGCAGACAAAGAAATTATTATAGTAAGCTATTTCTCGTTTAATGTGAGACAAAAGAGACATGGCTCAAGTCCCATCTACATTCTTCGTTGGTAATGTTACAAATATTTGTAGTATTAGATTGTTGGTATAATTATGGCATTCACACGAATGATCTTATGTGTTAGTCTATCCACCCACTAAAACAAAGATTAAGTGTTTCACTACTTTCTCCAATGGAAAAGATAATTAAGTGGAAAATTCATCTGGGAGAAAATTTAAAGCCCTTTGAACAGACAATTGTGGCCATTGTATATATGTCAACCATGTTAGAGGACTACTGGATTGCGTCACATGAATGACAGTGCTGAAGACATCCTAGCAAACGGTGAGACAGAGAGTCTGTTTGTACATGTTAATAATAACTTCCACAAACGTTTAGGGCTGAGGCACTTCATAAATTATTGATGCCAAACTAAAGCTATGAAATGACCAGTTAGAATCAGGGGACGATGCATTTTGCATGCTCTGTTGTGATTGTGTATATACAACCCGAAGGGGACAAGTGACACAAGCTTGACTCCAACAGCAACGGGGGGGGGAGCAAACCAAGTAACCCCTGCAGAGCACGCCCCAAACTTTACATGCGGATGCGCGTAAAACTTCTATTAATGTCCGTACTCATGAATGTAGGAAACAAGGTATAAAAATATTTTATGTTACTAGAATGACATATGAGTTGGAGATTGTCCATAATTATGTATAATTATACCTCATTTGGGTGTGGGGATGAAGCACTAGAAAAATACACCTGCAGGAAAGAGAGCCCTGTGAACAACTGCTGTACTGTGTAAACTGCTGGGGTGTATCAAAATGGAAGAATATTAGGGGGGCTTATATTACCTCGAACTGATGAGGTGCTACTATGCACTAGCTAATGTATAATAAATGGGTAAAATTTGGAAATGGTATGTAATAACTCACTTTAAGTAATCTAATATGTGTGCAGGAGGATGATAAATAATGCTTTAAGTTGTGTAATGCAATAATATGGATTGCAAAAGAGAGCGTTATTTGAATCATTGAAGTGCACTACATTAAAATATGCAAGTGTGTCACATTTCCGGTTGCATGACTTTTAACCACTAAGCTGGATTTTTCTAGTTCCCATTCAACATATGTAGCTAACAACATCAGTATGTATCTTTGCAAAAGTGTGAAGTATATATAATGTTTATCCCAACTAAGCCAGTTAAATTCATAGTTTTCGGCACATTTGATCATGGTCAGATGATGATGATTGGAGCGCCGGTAGACGCTCTGTGTAGGGATGAGACGAGATGAAATGTCATGTAGCTACCATGTGTATGAAACACCTACAAACTCACTCCACAAGTTACAGGGCTTTCCATCTTTTTTGCGGGTCCTTCTATACGGCTACATTATGCCCAGGTGTCCACAACGCGCCCTGGAATCGTTGCACGAGAATTTGCACATACGCATATTTTTGTCGTCATCTTCTTCTTCTTTTTTTCCTTTTCTTGAGTAAACTGATCCACAGCTTTACTGGTGAGGGTAGAGATGATAAAACTCCACACCATTGGTCACGCATACAGGAGTACGATCTTTTTGGCAAGTGGTACGCATTTTCCCCGCAATCAAAAGCTACCAGAATAATAGAGAATCTATGACTGTACCGGCTAACATCACCATTTACTGCTAACTAAGCACCTTACTTTGCGTTGAAGTCAGAAGGCATATTTAGTATCACACATTGCGCATGCGCAACTGGTCGAGTGTTGCAGCTCAGCCCCATCCCTAGCTCTTGGACTTTGTCTGTTAGACCAAGAGTTCCGGCTGTGTCTCAAATATTGGTTGGGCATCAGAATGGCAGACGATGTCAGCTCCTGTTCTGCATGTGGCAAATCCGCAGCTGCTGACCCATTTGGTGATCATCAAGTGGGTTTTGGAGGCAGAATGGGACGCGAATGCCACCGACACACGCTATCCGACGCCCTTTTTTCACGCCGCCCAATCACGCAGCACTGGCCTCTCGAAAAGAGGTCCCTACCCTGATCCCAGGCACCAGATCCCGTCGGCCGACATACTCTCCCCCACTGTTGCAGGGGGTGCCCTGCTGCCTTGGACGTTACTGTTATCATCCACTATGCAACCGCTCACTACTATCAGGAGCTGCTGGGTATGCTCTGAAAGTGGGCCGAGGAAAGAAAGATGGTAGCTCACAATGCCGAATGTAGAGCGCCAGGAGTGTCGTTTGTTCCCTTGCTGTGGATCGTTGGGAGTGGTTGAGCCATGACACAGCCCTACAAATCTCCAGAATCGGCAGACTAGTGGGTCAGAGGCTTGGTACCTCCCCCGCGGAAGCAGTTTCACATTTATTCCAGCGCTTGTCCATCTGTTTGTCGAGAGGAAATGCTACTATGTGGGCTTGCCGCCTTCTGTCTCACTCAGCTTGGACTGATGGGATCATTAGATATCCATTTTTTTGTGGTTGTTGTTGTTGTTGTTTATTAATTTTTTGTGTTCTTTGTTTTTTTCGTTTTTTCGTTTTGTTCGTTTTGCTTTTTGTTTCGCCTACACTTAAAAAAAGAAGCATCGTAGCAACCCCTACATGGAGGCAGAATCATTAACCCTCAGCGCGCATGCGCAGCGAGGGTTACAGTACTTGGTCTGTCCGACTATCTGTCTACGCTTATTCTGGCACTACAGGCTACGAAGCAGCGATACTGGCAGCTTCAGGGCAATGAAAGCATGAAAACTAAAAAGGCGATTTCCTCAAACGACTGCGTTCCAGAGATATGAAAAAGCACGTACGCAAGTGATCGACCGCGCACGCGCCTCCGCCGGCTGGCAGTGTTTTGCAAGTCCATAGAATGTATATATGGCTATAATACTAGGCGTTATATGTTATACATCAATTTCTGCTTATTTAAGGAGATACCCGGTACTCTGAAAGTGGCCGAGGAAAGAAAGATGGTAGCTCACAATGCCGAATGTAGAGGCGCAGGAGTGTCGTTTGTTCCCCTTGCTGTGGAATCGTTGGGAGGTTGGAGCCATGACACAGCCCTACAAATCTCCAGAATCGGCAGACTAGTGGGTCAGAGGCTTGGTACCTCCCCCGCGGAAGCAGTTTCACATTTATTCCAGCGCTTGTCCATCTGTTTGTGGAGAGGAAATGCTACTATGTGGGCTTGCCACCTTCCGTCTCACTCAGCTTGGACTGATGGGATCATTAGATATACATTTTTTGTGGTTGTTGTTGTTGTGGTTTATTAATTTTTGGTGTTCCTTGTTTTTTTCGTTTTTTTCGTTTTGTTTGTTTTGCTTTTTGCTTACGGAGCATGCGCATGATTTCGAAGCGTGAGCTAGCCTAGGCAGGTATGCGCAGGCGTATACGCATGCGCGAGGGAGGGAGAGACCGGTCTGGTAAATAACTATGCCTCTCCACGGGCCAAGTAATTTCAGCAACCACTAAATCCCGAGTAGTTGCGGTTACACCCAACTGTGATGTGCCATAATACTAACGCGCGTGCGCGCACACACGTGGCTCGACCTATGCTTGGTTTTTTTGACAAAACAGACCGAGCATTCGCTTGAAACCACACGGAGAGTTGTAAAAAGGATCAAAGTAAGGAACTGTGCATTTAGCTTAGCTCTAGGGCTCACGCTGTGAGTGTGACAGAGTTATTAGTATTCTTCACTATATCTTGCCGAGCGGTAGGGGATCGCTGGGGATAATAGGATTTTCAGTATCTTTATCACGTATTACATCGAGTCAGTTGCAAATCCTCTCCGAATCCCGCTTGGTTTTGCTACAGCACGCTCTTTTATCTCCCCATACATTCTTTACGGGAAAGAAATTGCAGTGTCAGCATAAATGTCATTTACAATGACGCAATCGCTGCGCATGTCCGACCTCCTCTGGCCTCGTTTACGCGTTTGCGCGCGCGCATTATTTTGTGAAAGGATCCGTTGGCACCAGACTAATACCGGGATGGCTTACGTGACCAGGTTTAGCCCGCTCAGCGCATGTGTGTGTGTGTGCAGTCCAGCGTTGCTCTAACCGCTCGCTACCCACAGATGCAGCTAGCCTGCGTTAGGCCGAGAAACTGGCTCCGTCGACGACTCATGGACCAGCCCATTTACGTGGCTTACATCAACGCTACAACGCGCGCGTTTTGCGCCGAGGGTTTGCACTTTAGTGCTTTTCATTTTTCTTGGTACTGTACGTACAGTTCTCCATGAACAGTGATTCCCCCCCTCGTTGTAAAACAGAATCCTTGTAAATGCAGAGTACTTTGCCAATTTCCTAGACAGAATGATACCTGCCCCCTTGGCATTGTTTTGCATGTTTTCATTACACTACAATAAAATACCAAGGAACAATTTTGTACTGGGACAACACCCAGTGGATAAAGATGGGTTATTATGATTATTGACACCTCCTTATATATATAGTCCCTTTTCCCCTCGTTTTCATGAAGTGCCATCCCTACATCCCCTTCATTTCAGATAAATGATTTTAATATCCGTTTATAAATGACCTGACTTAAGTGCTGGAAAGAGGGTGGGGTAAAGGATAGCCTTGGAACCGCGCAAATGCATAATTTTTGGAGAGAATATTATTGTGTGTGATTCATCCATAAACAGGGAAGTCCTGGGTTCCAGTGTAGTAGGGCGTTTCACAATTCTAGATGTGCTCTCCCACAAAAAAGTTAAAATGCAGGCCGAATACAAAGAAGTATCTTACTATGAGGTTAAATTCAGTAAACACCCTTTCTACCACACTTACTACCACACTAATTGCATGTGGTGAGTCACAGAGTAGAGGTTTAGATTTCTGTCTGCCTTGGGACCCACCAGATGTCACTTGTAAGATTTTTCAGTGTATTCTGATAGTACTGAAGCCAGACAGAAATCTAAGCCTCTACTCTGTGACTCACCACATGCTATTAGACTAACATCTGTGCTGAGGGTTATCTAAGTGATGGTATGCAAGATAGGCAGGCTCCCACATGGTCTTGGTGTTCTTTTATGGCTTTCTTACTATTAGCTGAAAAACAAAGGGTTTAAAGGACACCATTATTTGACAACCAACTCCAAGGAGGATATTACTATTAAGAGAAATAAAGCCGTCTTAAACCCTTAGCAAGCCACGGGCATATATAATATGCCCAGAGCCTCCATAAGTCCATAAGAATTTATATATGGCTATAATACTAGGCGTTAATATGTTATACATCAATTTCTGCTTATTTAAGGAGATACCCGGTACCCATGGCGTCCAAAGGGTTTAATTAAGTAAAATTCGCACTATATCATGTCGTAACTGCTTAATTTGAATTAAGTGTTATAAGGTGTACAAAGTATAATATACAAAGGATAAATATTTTTGTGCAAGCCATATGTTGCATCCTGAGCTTGCTAAGGATGTTTTCTTTGGTGTTCCCGCAGGGCGGAACATTAGGTATGGGTTTCTAAGGCTGTAGCTAGTCCACTGGATACACAATTTACTATGGCCATTATGACCACGAGTTAGTGTTTTTAAGATAATATATGACAGTAAAGTATGAAATGCCGTTTGTCTCAGAACCACTTTTTTTGGATCAAGCCTAAACGTCGCGGGAATTATTGCGAGAGTTTAGCTAAACCTCGTGTGATTCTAGCAATCATCACACGACCTTAGCTAAACTTTAGCAAAAGTCGTATGACTTTCAGGGCCAGACGCCGCAGAATTTGCGTGCGCGTTACGCCATTCGTCTTCGATATTTAGGTATATTATAACGTCGACGACAATGCTAAATGCATGGTTTTTTAGCTGTAGAAATGCCCTTTTAGCTAAATGCAACGATGGATGCTAAAGTCATGCGCTATTTAACTAAAGTCATGCGGTGTTTAGCTCAAGTCTTGCGCTGATTAGCTAAAGTCGTGCGACGATTGCTATAATCACACGAGGTTTAGCTGAACTCTCGCGATATTTACGTCGCGACGTTTAGGCTTGAAGTAGTTCTGAGACAAACGGCACTTCATAGTAAAGGAGTGATAGGAACTTTGCTAGTGTTGCAGGTAGAGACAATAATTATGAGTGCGGTAGCAGAATAGCCTAATGGGGTGTGGCAGGACGTGATTACCGTATAATTATCGTTATAGCCATGCCACAAAGTGATGTCCATTTCACTACAGTAGCTGAACCCATGCACTTATTCAAAACAAGCAAGTTTCCTGCAAACACCGAGGTATTATTGAAAAGTATACACTGTAGATAGCTAGTCAGCTTTAGGTAGGTTTTCACGGAGCAACTACACATGAAATAGTAGCTAGCTATGTCCGCGCTGACTGGGCTCACGATAGACAATACGTACAATTACGATTATAGCTAGCTATTAACCTGTCCGAACAGCCCAGCTGCCACTAGTAGAAGGTAGAGCTGCAAACGCATCATGACTTTCACACGATTCTTTTCCTCCGACTACGACGGTTTCCTTTTACCGCGCGCATTTCGCCGGCGGCGATATGCGACGCGTATAAATAGGCCAATTGATCGCGCTTGTCCGCGGGTAGCTACTTCGAGGATGAATTGCGCTGGTGGATTGGTTTTTTTGGCGGCCTGTCTTGCCGCTGCGCTACAGTCCACCGATGCAAACACAGTAAGCGCCGCAGCTCAGGAAACAGCCCAGCGGCACTCTACGGAAACATTGGCAAACCTGTACACCGTGATCAAGAACGTCGCGCTGCCCCCGCCTAGTGCTGATGCCAGGGTAACGAGCCTACTCAGCAAAGGCTGGTTCTCTTGATGCCCGGGAAAGTGCCCAGTTACTACGACTACTTCCCAGGTGATGCGTACGAGGCCTACCTGGAGAATCCGGACTACGGGTACACCGATCAGCAGGTAACCATCCCACCGCGGGTCATGGAGAGCATGTTCGCACTCGCTGACATCATCCCGGGACGCTATCCGCTGCGAGGAGCGGAAACTGGGGAAAGTATGGCCATCATCTACGAAGACATCCTCAACAAGATGGAAGTTATAGGATTTGATAAGAAAACGCAGACCGAGAAACAGAGATACGTGACGGCAATTTCATACCTCGCCGAAGAAATACCTGACCCCTTGAACGTGACTCAAAACGTAACTCGTTTCCAACTATATCGCAGAAGTCAAGAGCTCTACAACACTAGGAGGCTAGAAATGGAAGAAAGGATTGAACGCGAGCGCACAAATAATCCAGGAATCGCGTTTGAAAGGTGGTTCCAGCGAAACTATCCCACACTAAAATCTCAAGTTGAAGGAGCCTACACCGAATGGTTGATATTTGGACAGAAAGAGATTGTTGAACTGTACAAGAGCTATTTGGATGTGGAATCTCCCGGGGTTGATCTAGAAGAAGCTAGAATGGCGTTGCGAGCATCGGGCCTTTCTTCACTGGATCGTACGAGAACTGTTTATCCTGTGTCGTTCGTGCCGTCAAACTGGTACCGCTACCTCACAAACGTCACTGCAGTGTAAGTTATTGCGGCGGGCCCACGACGGGGCATGCGCATGCGCGACGCGTTGCGCGTAGATAACCGGTCCCAAGTGCGCGTGCGCAGGCGAAGTGTTCGCTTTGAAAGGGTAGTCACCACCGTACTCCTGTATAATTATATATTCAACTTGCAAACCGAGGTCACAAAGCATCGCAGGTTCTTTTCTCTATATTATTATAATAGACCACCAAAATGTCATTCAAAAAGACCTCGGTGGGTGAGGCATAATATATAGGTGTGCAGGTTTTAGTTATCGCTTATGCAAGAGCAAAAATAGCTCCAGTCAGCGAAGTATTATGTTGGTAGTCCTACAGTAAAACATTTTCCATCAAGCAGAATTGACTTTGTATATAGTGGCCTGCAACAATGCACATGCACAAAACATTACATGTCTTGACATGCGTTAGCTATAGCGTTTAGATCGGACGTGGTTTCGTGTGTAGTGGCTACTTTATGGTGGGCACACCTAGTCCCAACTGAGAGTTGCAGCCTTCCAAATCATTCTACATCTATGATCCTTTTTTGCTGTTGGTGTATTGAACCCACTCGCAGAAACCTCCACAAGCGCAAGGGTAGCTAACAGTGAAAATTTTTTGGAATCGGTCATAGGTCACGGTGGAGTTTTTGTGCAGGTCAAAAGCAAAATTTACGGTACATTTGGTCTTTGGTTGCAGAAGTTGTACACGACCTATAATGGTAGTGACTACCCCTTGCGTTGCTACAGGCCAAAGAGCGGACGGGAATCAGTGCTACCTAAGTATTCCAAAAATTTTTAACCCTCGGCGCGCATGCCCAGCGAGAGTTACAGTATACTTGGTTTGTCATTCCGTCAGTATTCCAACAATTTTTTTATAGCGATGAGGCCCAACAAAGGAGGCAGAGTTTGGAGAGGGAGAGTAGGGACGAGATTCTGGTCAAGATGGGAGAGCTCGAGGCCCAGAAAAAAGTCCTCATTGCTTTGCAAGCAGGGGAACCATCAGAAGAGCTGAAAAGTGAATTTAGGAAACTGAAAAACACTCTTACATCGTCCAATACGGCCCTAAATAATCTTGCCACGAATACCGAGAACTATCGACAGAGGTGCCTCATCAGTCGCATAAAAGCAAAAGCAAACGAGAGTTTTGATGGAACTGAATGTGACAGGTATGCAAGCTCGTCAAGTAGTGCATACGAGTCGGTCGAATCGAGCACCGAGCTTTTTGCCTGTGTTCGAGACCTGGATTTCCAAGTAAACGCGTTTGAGCAGTCTCGCGAGGCACTGAATCAGACGGCACAAGAGATAGAGCGGCAGATAGAGGCTCTTCAGCAGAGGCTCTCAACGACGGACGTCAAGTTCTCGCACTTGGCCCGAGAGGCTCAGCACGCAGCAGACTCTCAAGACATACTCGATTCGCAGTGGCTCTCGTTTCAATTTGATTCCAAACGGTACAAATCCAGTTCATCAACGCTCTCCTCTCGAACAACGTCTAATTTTGCTGCTAGTGCTAGTGGTGGTTTCGGTTTTTTTTCGTTCAGTGCTTCATACAGCAGTTCACGCTCACGATCAGACTACAGTTTCCAGGCAGCCATGAATAGCGCAGAGACAGTTGTAGGTGGAGAACTGCTGAGAGTAACCGTTCAGAGGCCATGGTTCCGACCTTCTCTTTTCAAGAGCAAAGATCAGTTTCAAATACGGGTGGGTTAGTCTATTGTTTAGTCGCTAATAGAGATGTGTTTCTATCTTGTGTTTTGTTTCGTAGGGTCTGACACACAAGATCTCACCTGGATACATCGAAGGAGAGAAACAATACGTACACGAAATAACAAGAAGAGACAGCAACTACCTTTTGCCCGAATATGTGACCGGTCTTCTGCTGTCCAGAAATATCAATGTCGAATTCCGGGGAATTTCTGCATCACGGTCTGCACGTGCTGTCCGCACAGCTTCCAGCTCCAGGTTCAGTGCTAGAGTAGGGTTTGGGCCGTGGGGTGGAAGCGTGTCGGGCGGCAAATCTCAGTCTTCGTACCACAGGACCTACTCAATGGAGAGCACCAGTGATGGTCTTCGGGTCTCCATCCCTGGGGCCCAGATCATTGGCTACTACATACAGGTTATGCCCGAGTTCCCTGCCATCAAAAAGGATTCTGTGGCGTAGCTAACACACTGTAGATACTAAAAAGTGAACCTCTTATGTATGAACATACTGAAAAAAAGACCCCTATAGCCCCCCTTGCTTATAGCTGATAAACTTGTTGTATGTAGAGATTGTGACCAGAATGACTCTCTCTCGGTCTAGACATGTATGTAATTGCTTTATTCTTTGTTAATGACATGACTTTGGGGGAACGGGACATAAAATACATTGTACTGTGTGAAACAACACTAGCATCGGTGCACAGTGCATGCGCGGTACTGTTAATTGACTAACTGGGCTATAAGTATGCGTGGTCTCCAGCTACTAGCTCGCAGAGAGTCTTAAACAGGATCGCTACACTAGTAGGTACAATACTTACACAAATATGAAGTAGCTACCACTTTGTAAAACGTAGCCCGTATTATGTAACTGTTCCGCACCCCCCTGCTCCATACCTTTTGTAACTTCACACACATTTTCAGCTAGCATTGCTGCTAGATGCTGCATCAGAATAAGGATTCTGCTCTAAACCTGTTGTTTGTCTTCTGTCTGGAGGTTAGAGTAGTCCTTTTTCGGAGGTTTTTGTGTACTATTTCAACAGCAATACCAATCGGGGACAAGCTTTCTGTCCGTCTCTCAAAAGCTGTCTTCTTTTCGGAGTGTCCTCTATCAGAGGGTGACTGTGTAATGATATTCCAGCAGGAGCTTTATACATCCTTTCGGCTTCACAGAGCAAAAAATAATACTTTGAAACAATTACTACCAAACAGATGCGTTTTAATTTTAAGTCACGACTCCTAGTCATTAGCTTGGCAAAAGGTGTATGACTTTCTGCATCTGTCGTCTCTCTGCGAACGCGTAAACGGCCACGTGCAAACTGCTGGACGTTTTGACCAGTATTCAGGCCCCCCTGCCAATGGGGGACGACAATCGTCCTACTAGTGTTCCTCGCCATGAACAAAAATGTTCCAGTAGAAGAAATTGCAAACGGCAGTTTCTGGAGCGGTAACATCAGTTCTCCCCGATTTCTATAAGACATGCCAATGCTAACCGACGACACAGATGCCGAAATCATACGAAGTTTGCATTGGTTTGCCCGATTATGGGCAAAATGTCGGCGACTGGTGTAATGTGATATGTTGTCAAGTAAATGTCCACGACGGATGACACAAGACATGGATGCTAAAATTCCGCAGCATTTCACGGACCTTTGCGATATCATATCGCGTTAGCTAAATATCGACGACGGATGTTAAGTAATGCGCAAAATCCGCGGAGTCTAGCCCTGAAGGTCATGCGGCTAGCCCTGAAAGTCATGTTCAGTAATAAGTATAAACCCGATGATTATAATAGTAGAATCACCAGCTTGGTCGGTGCGTAAATCCTGTCCCTGCCTCAGTCCCCGCTTCTGTCCCCGTGTCCACTTCTGTTCCTGCGTCTGCTCCAGCGTCTATTCCAGCCTTTGACGCCGCGCCTCCCTCGTGCCCTGCCCCTGCTCTGGCCTCTCCCTCTCCTCCGTCGGCCCCCTCCCGCCCGGCTCCTTCTCCCCCCCGTTCGCACGGGGACCTCCCCTCTCTATCTCCCCCCTCTCTGGACGCCATCTTTAGCCTGCGTGTCTCTACCCTCCGCCATGTTCCGAAGGGAGCCAGGGACGCTTGGGCTGGCCTCGTTGGTGATGTGTGCCATACAATCTGTTCGGACCCCCTTGATGAAGGGTCTTGGATGAAATTCTTCCTACTGGCTAGATGTATCCTCGCCAGTCCCCCTAGGGGGGGTCGTTCGCATTGGCGTGTTACATTAAAACTGGTCCAAGCACGTATCGCCAAGTGGAAGTCTGGGGGGTGGTTGTCCCTCTGGTGTGAGGTCAGGGAGGAGAATGAGCGGCTTCTCCGGCATCTAAAGAAGTTCCAGTCTGACCCCGCCTCTCAGGAATCAATCCGGTCAGCTAACGTTCGTCGTGCTCGTAGGGCTGTCGAAGATGGGCAATTCAGGAAAGCCATTCAATCTCTCTCTTCTGCGGGTTTTGCCCCCTCCTCCGTCGATGCTCTGAATGTGATGCGTTCCAAGCACCCTCCCACCCTTCCTCCCTCCCCTTTTCCATCCCCGGCTCCACCCCCAGTCCAGATCTCCAGTCTGGATGTCACTAAGGCCCTTCGATCTTTCCCAAGTGGTTCAGCCCCTGGTCCGTCCTGTCTCAGGGCTTCTCACCTAAAGGAGGCTGTGTTCTGTCCTTCTCCTGACCGCTCCTCTTTTGTGCTACAGGGCTTGGTTGGAGTTGTTAACCTTCTCTGTAGAGGTCGCGTTGCCCCGTCCATCCTCCCTCATCTCTGCGGGGCAACACTCCTGGCCTGCCAAAAGAAGGGGGGCGGTCTTCGTCCCATCGCTGTTGGGGAGGTTCTTCGTCGTTTGACATCCAAGTGTGTTTCCCGGGCAGTCCGAGCCGATACCATCACTACTCTTTCCCCCCTCCAAGTTGGAGTGGCGGTCCCTGGAGGCTGTGAGGCAGTCGTCCATTCGGTGGTTAGTCTCATCAATGACAGTACCATTCCTCCTGACTCTCGCTGTTTCCTCCTAGTTGACTTCTCCAATGCTTTTAACTCTGTTGATCGGAAGTGTATGTTTGCTGAGGCTCGGTCTCGTATCCCCTCCATGTCAGCCTGGCTTGAATGTTGCTATGGCATCCAGCCGCTTCTACATTTCGGCGACGACATTATTCGCAGCTGCTGTGGGGTCCAGCAAGGTGACCCACTGGGCCCGCTGGGTTTTTCCCTCGCCCTACAGCCCATTCTTGAGCAGATCAATCAAGATGTTCCAGGTCTCCTCATGAACGTCTGGTATCTAGATGACGGGACTCTCTGTGGCCCTCTGAGTGATCTCCGTGCGGCGCTTGACATCCTTGAGGCTGAGGGGCCTTCCCGTGGTCTGCTGCTTAACCGGAGCAAATCCCTTCTCATCATCCCCCCTGATGCTTCACCCCCCTCTTCGTCTCTTCCCCAGGGTGTTCCTGTCTCCGATGGCGGTCTTGTGCTTCTGGGTTGCCCTATAGGATCTGCCTCCTTCTGCACCTCCACAGTCATGAAGAGGATTGCCAAAATTCAGGACACCCTCGTGAATTTGAGGGACCTCCAAGATACCCAAATGGAAACCGCTCTCTTGCGGTCCTGCCTCTCCCTCCCCAAAATTTCCTTCACTCTCCGCACCTGTGCCCCTAACCTGATTCATCCTGCACTTGCAGCCTTTGACAACATCATGCGGGACTCCTTGGAAGACCTCTGTGGGGGCCCCATCTCTGACTGGAGCTGGTTGAAAGCGTCGCTGCCTGTCTCTTTGGGTGGCCTTAATCTCCGTCAGGCCCCCCTCCACGCTCCTGCAGCTTTCATTGGATCCCTCGCTCTCTCCAACCCCCTCGTTGCCCAAATTCTCCGCCACCCTCCTCCTGTCCCCGCTAGTCTCCCTTCCTGCCTGGCCACTCTTGCTGGGGCAGCTGGGCATCCTGAGTGGGTCTCTCTACAGGACATCGATGTCCCCCTCCGGCAGCGCTCCCTCTCATACGAAATTGACCAGGAATCTTTCGACCTTCTTCTCTCCTCCGCCCCTGACACCCGTTCTCTGGCCTTGCCCAATCGTGTTCTCTCCCCCATGCTGGTGATTGGCTGAACGCTGTTCCTTCGCCTTCCCTCGGCCTTCACTTCATGGATCGTGAGTTCGGGTTTGCCTACAATATTGGTTGGGGGTCCCGATTTTTGAGGAGGGGGTGAAATGCGGCGTTTGCCACTCAGCTGCTGACCCCTTCGGTGACCACCAGGTCGGTTGCGGGGGGGGAACGGTGATAGAATCCTAGGCACAACTCTGTATGTGATTCCATTTTATGCCGCCCGCTCCGCTGCTTTGGCTCCGCGAAAGGAGGTCCTTCTCTCATCCCCGGATCACAGAGCCGCCCTGCCGACATCCTTCTTCCTAATTGGGAACGGGGTAACCAGCTGCTATGGATGTGACCGTCATTTCCCCCCTTCAACCCCTCACCCTTCAAGGGGCGCTTCCTCTGCTGGCCATGCCCTCGCTGTTGCGGAGCATCGAAAGATGTCAGCCCATGCCCACCGCTTGCCGCGCTGTTGGGGTCTCTTTCATCCCCTTGCTTTGAGGCCCTGGGCGGCATGAGTGAGGCCACAACCACCTCGTTGTCCAGAATTGGTCGCCTCCTAGGCCAGTGTTTAGGGGTCTCTCCCGCGGACTCAATTCGTCACCTCCTCCAGCGCGCTCTGTTCTCTCTGGCGTGGGAATGCCGCTCTTTGGCTCCATCGATTCCCCATTGGCCCCCC